CGAGTGCCTGCGTGGGCACCCATGTCCCTCCCCATTCTCTTCGTTCTTGAATGCCCCCTGGGTAGGGGGTCTGCCAGGGCCTCTAGGATCTGCCTCTGAATCTGGCCCAGGCCGAGAGCACTGTGAGCTCTGGGGATGCCCGCAGGGCCCATCCACTGCCTTGACCCCCAGGCTGAGCTCCGCCGCCAGGTCCTTCCCTGCCTGACGTCCTCATGGAAGCTCTGAGCTGCCCCCCTGCACGCCAGGGCTTTGCCTGGGACCTTCTGTGTCCCAGGGCCTAGGGCTCGGCACGTGGTCGATGTTCGTGCAGTGTTTGTGCAGTGAGTAAAGGAATGATCCCAGGTCGCGTCTGATGGGGAGTGGGAGTAGCCAGGGAGGTGGGGGAGGTGCTGGAGGACAGGCCATCCGAGTCCCATTTCCTCCTCCCCTGCATTGTCGGCAGAGGTCCCTCAGTGGGCTCAGCTGGAGAGTTTAGGAGGGCAGTGGGGGCGGGGCGGGGGGCAGACAGGCCAGGGGCTTCTCCAAGCATTTGAACCCTTGATCTTTGCATCGTTTCAAATTATTTTTTTAATCTTACAGGATAGAAAAAGAGCTTATGGAATACATTGAGTCCCTGCGGCATCCCCAACCCCACTCACACCAAAATCCAACAGCAAAACAAGCTCCTTCAAGCCAGAGACTGAAAACAGAATTCCGTGTACTTGACGAGGAGGCCTTTTGATCTACGGCTGGGTCCTGGCTGGGCCGAGCTGTAGGAGCCCCGAAGACGCTGGGGGTTTTGTCAAGCTCGGGGCCATGTCCGAGCCCCCACTCTGGCACCATCAAAGCCCAAGGGGCAGAGACCTGAATACCAGGAAACTAAGTGCAATTACTAGAATCCAAGTCACTGGGGAGCCACTGCGCGGCCGGGGGCCAGGCCAGAGCCCTTGTCCCCGCACTGCATGCCTTCCCTGGACGCAGACTTCTGTACATATGTCTCCATGAACTGTGCTCCGTGTACCCGGAATCTGTCAGCCAAGTGACTTGCAAGTGTCCCTGTGATCTGAACCCGAAGTCAAGCCCCAGTCAGCAAAACCCTTCGAGAGCCCTGTGCAGCTGATCCAGCAGGTGGCCACCAGGGGGAGAGAGAGAGAGAGAGAGAGAGAGAGAGAGAGAGAGCGAGCGCGCGCGCGCGCAGGACTCTGACTAGGGGCAGGAGCCTTGCCCACTGTGGAGGGCGGATCCAAGGACCTCAGATGTCCAAGAAAGAAGCCACAGGCTCCATAACTCTCCTGGATGGGACCCGGTGAAAGTCTCAGAGCATGACTGTCCCTGGAGCGAGGACAGAGAAGGTGGACGCCGTCCCCGACCACACCATGCCCCGCGCTGTCTCGCATCTTGGTTGTAATTTGCAAGACGCTGCCGAGGGAAGATGCCGGGAGGCGGAGTGTTCTGTGGAGCATCCGTGGGGGACGAGCCTCCCCCGCATCGGTCTGACACCAGGGCCGCCCTCTCTCAGTTGTGGAGGAGGGAGCGCTTCCTGATCTTGGGGCCTCCGAATGGAACCTTCGAGCAGACGGAGCGCCCGGGGCAGCCAAGGAGGCCAGGCAGCAGCTGCTGAGAGTCGGGCCCCAGAGGCAGAGCCCCCGAGGAGAGAAGTGACCTGGGGTGATGCTGTTCTTGTTGTTCTCGGTGGGGTGGGGGCGGGGGGCGCGAGCATCTCCAGATGCCCCTGCTCACCTGACTGTTCTCTCCAAAACGTCTGGAAAGAAGATGTGCGGAATTAGAGTCGATGAAGGAAAACAGGAGGCGGTGCAGGGGAAGGAAGGGAGGAGCAGTAGCGGGGACGGGTCGGTCCCAAGGACGGGACGATTGGCTGCTCTGTGGTTGCTGGGCTGCGAGAGCGAGCCTGTGATTTCTAGTAAGAAGAGCTTTTGGAGGAGACAGAAGTGACTGAAATTCGGGCCGCGGAGGGGACCAGCGGGGGAGCGGAATGTTCTCAGAAGGGCAGACCCGAGGACGGAGAAGGCGGTGACCATGAGCGCAGCAGGGGCGCCCCGGCCCGATGGGGAGGGATGTCCAAACCAAATCAAAGAACCGAGGGGGCTCTAAGCAAACACGCACAGGACAGCTGAGGAGAGACCATTCTCTTTTGAGCACCCGCCGCTCCAGCCCCCACAACTTAACCACCGTTCGGCGACCGAACGTGCACGAACTGGTGTCTTCGCGTGAAGACAGGCATCTGAGCATCCCAGGGAGCGATGGGAGTGGGGAACCGCGCAGGGAGTGCAAATGAACACACATCTGCTTTCCCCGGGGCCCAGGCAGCGCACAGAGCCCTTGCTTTGCTGAGTAGACAGAAGTCCAGGTGGTGCACACAGCTCTCTAGGAAGCGTTTCCATGGCACTGCCCACCCTCTCCCCGCTGCTGGAGCGTCCAGGGGCGTGGTCCTCACGCCCTCCTGTCCTCGTCCTTCTGTCTGCTCGGCTCTCCCACTCAGACGACAGGACAGGAATGGCGTTGGCTTTGAAGTCAGACCCGTCTGGGTCCGCTCCCAGCCTGGCCCCTTTCCTTGCAGCCGACACGGGCCAAGTACTTGCTGCCCCGAGTCTTAACTCCTTCTGGGGGACGGGGGTGACGGTCCCCAGGCAACGCCTCACCCCTGCTCTCTGTTGGGCATAACTAGACGGTTAGACCCGCAGGACTTCCGGACCCTGGTTCCCTCCCTGGCACTCGCCCTGCAAGGAGACCACACAACCCGCGGGGGACCGGGAGCCGTTCTCTGAGACAGCTCAGGTGCGAGGGAATGAGACCACACAAGCAGGTATGGAGCGGCCCTGGCGGAAAAGCCCGAAGTCCCCAGTAGGCGCCAGTGTTTGTCGTGACAGTCCCGGGCATTGCTTCCGAGGTCCCTGCCCAGGACAGGCTCGGCTACCACAGCCCTTGAACTCGGGAGGGCCTCAGAGCTCTGGTGGCTCACGAGACGCGTACCTAGACTGCAGCCGCGTCCCCCATCCCGGAAGGGGCTGTTGTGGTGGGTGTGACCTCATAGCACAGCCCAAGTTCCATGCCCGTGTGGTTCCCAGGGCAGCAGAGCTCCGAGGTCGGCCGATCCCCGGGTCAGCGTCTCATGCAGAAAGGAGAAGGGCTGGGTCCACCCTTTCCCACCGCCCTCCTTGCAGATCTGTGGGCGGGATGAAGGGAGAGCCGGGTCAAGTTCCTGGCATGTGATGAGGCCTCAGTGCATGGTTTCCCACCCTTCACCCTGATTCCTCTGGGGCCGGCGGCCACCCGCGAGGAGCTGGGCAGAGAAGCCCAGGGGGCAGACCCGTGTCCCGTCACTGTTGTTCTGCAGCATCTGTGGGCCAGGAGACCGGCGGTGCAGGGTGACAAGCCCCCCCCCCCCCGTTTGCCAGGGAGGTGGGACTTCCGGTTTTAAAATGGGGGGAGTCGCAGGCGAGCCAGGACGCGAGGGTCCTCCTGGAGCACGAGGACTTGACCGCTGGCCCTACTGCACTCTGGGCCCAGATGCGCACGGGTGTGTTTTCCCTCCCCTGCGCACGCTGAGCGGGGCGCTGTGGCATGAGAAAGGCTGGGTGCGTGCTGCTTCTGGGGTTAGCTCATCCGGAAGTACCCCCGCACTGTCTGAGGCACTGGGGGGGTGGGGGGGCTGCAGGTGCACTGAGTGCGTGCACCCCGCCCCTTGTCAGGGGGCCCTGGTTACCTTGGAGACACGAACGCTGTGCTCCAGCGTGAGCTCAACACCCTTCTGAGCAAACTCATGATCTTTCCTCCCATCAGCCACTCCTGCCCCCCTTTCTTCCCCGCCCTTGCGTCCTGGAGGCTGAAAGCCTCAAGGTCTCTGGCTCCTGCATTTCCCTCGCCTCCCATAACCAGTATGTGACCGGTGGAACCCTGCCCGACGGTCCCGGTCCAAACAATGACCTGTTTGTCTCGGCCTATTTTCTCACATTTAACCAGAACCTGCTAGAGGCCTGCCCACTTGGGGGTGCTCCTCCCTGAGGTCGTCGAAGCTCTCGGGGCTTCTGAAGACCCCAGACTCTGCCCCCCAGACTGTGCCCAGCAGTTAGGTAATTCGCCCAGGATTCTGTCAGAGAAGCCACAGAGATGGGATTCGAACCCAGGCCGCGTGGCCCGGGCACCTGAGGTCCGAGCTGGCCCACTGTATCCCCTCTTGGCCAACACCCCACCCTGCTGCCTCTGGCCACCCCGTGTCTGTCGGAAGCCCTCTGGGCCGCCCCAGCACACGGGTCCACTGTTGTGTATGAAAACCAAAATGTATGAAAACCAAAATGTATGAAAACCAAAATCTGCCCCCAACCCGGAAAACGTCTCTACAGAGGTAAATAAGAAGGAAAGCACATTTAGTATTGAATACGTGTCAAACCAGTGACGTCCATCATGGGCAATTCCGCTCAGAGGTTTGCAAAGACAGAAAGGAATCTCGCCCCTTTATGAGCCAAGCAGACACAGTCCATTGCACACATGCCCTCAAGATAAACACTACTCAGGTTTCAAATCAGAGGACCAGCACCGTCTTTAACGCACAAGTCCCCCTAAATCCACCTGGCCGTGGGGGTGACCCTCTGTGTTCCCTAATTTGCTTTATTCAAAGGAGAAGGAAACGTTTCTCATCTTTACGGCAGGCTGGTTTTGCAGTGTGGAGCCAGGCACCCACTGCAGTTAGGCCCCTCACCTCCCACAGGATCTGGGAGACAGGGTTCTATTACCCTTGGATGTTTACATTCCAAAGCGATGGTCCCAGGGTCTTCAGAAAGACAACCCTGGGTCAGAAAGCTGCCAAAAAGCTTATTTAGCTTTCAAAAAGATTGACACATATTTCAAAGAGCCGAACAAAGCATATGCAAGTTTTCCTTAATGTTTATTTCTTTTTGTGAGAGCCCAAGACAGAGGGGCAGAGAGAGGGGGAGACAGGGAATCCGAAGCGGGCTCCAGGCTCTGAGCCGTCAGCACAGAGCCCGACACAGGACTCGAACTCACGAACCCTGAGACCATGACCTGAGCCGAAGCCGGACGCTTAACAGACAGAGCCACCCGGGCGCCCCAAGCCGGGCATTTCCAGCTTGCACTTGCCCTTGCACTGCTCTGCATCAGGCTGAGCACACTGGCTGCTCTTCCTCCCAGAGGCCCCAGAGTGCTCCCTCCTCAGGGTAAATCGGACCAGGCCCTCCCTGCCTCTAAACACCCCCGGGACACCCCGCTGCCCACAGAGAGATGCCCGAGTCTTTGTCCTGGCGCTCGAGGCCTGCACTCATACGGCCCCGGCTCACCTTCTGTCCTCTGCCCTCACTTGCCCTCCAAGTGCCCGCGGGGCTGGCCACTCCCTTCGCCTGTCCTGCCGGTGCCGCGGGGCTTTGACCCCAAGGCTGCCTCCGCCCGCTGGAAGCCTGTGCTCAGGTCCGCCGGCGGGGGTCCTCCATTCCTGAGTCAACTGACCCGGGTCCCGAGTGGGCTCCCTCCCACAGGACATGCTTCTTCCCTTCGGGGCCTTGGTGCACTCCTTACCACTCCAGTTTTGGATTTGGACCCGGTCTTGAATCCTGACTCCGGCGCCTCCCATACGTGAGGCCTGGATGAGTTCCTCTACCTTCCGGAGCCTCTGTCTCATCATCCACAAAATGGGCACGGTGATGCCCACCTCCTAGGGTTACCGGGATGGTTGGGCCGGCTAGGGTGACGTGACCCAGAGCGCGGGCGATACCCGGAGCAGCACTGGCCCCCCATCCCCTCTGCCTGGCGGGCTCTAGGTCCCTGATTAACGTCTGCTGTCCTCAGAAAGGAGGCATAGAACTTGATTCACCACTGAGAATTTATATTTCTGACGGTCCTGCCCGGAAATCTCGTTTTATCTCTCTGTGCGCAGCATTAAGCGTTCAATTCCAGGTGACTTTTCCGCAACTTTGTCTTGCTTTGGGTGAGTTCTGGCATGCCAGCTTGTAAAACGAGAGGCGTTCATTCATATTGTATGATGTGTGTGCCAGTGAAACCCAAGGCCTCAGAAATACTCATAAATCATTCACCTGTTCTTGCCCTCCTCAGAGGGTGTTGTCCCACACAATCTGAAGGCACCGCGGCCTCCTGGAAATCTCCAGAAAGTCAGAGTCGCAGATCCACTTCGTGGCCTGAAGTCTTGACCCGTGAACTTTTGCACGCGATGGAGCCCGCAGCCAGAGGGCGGACTGAGAAAAGCTTCAGCTATGTTGTCAGAGCCCCCGGCAGCGATGGGTTTGATGTGATGAACGTTGACGTGAAGATCGACACGTGCTGGGTATTCCAGGACGTAGAGGACGGTGGTGAGGGGCCCGGCTGTCTTCCGGCAGCGGGAAGCCCAGACACGGATGCGGGCGTGCTCAGGAAGCAGCTGGAATCCTCAGAGCAGAAACTGCTGGCAGCTGTGGACAAGCACGTGATGTCGGAGTCCAGGCTCAGAAGCAGGTAAATTCGGCGTTTGCACCTCTTGCTTGTGTACTTAAGGAATCCGAGCCCCGTAACCGTGTTAGATCGGTGTGTCGAATCGTTTCTGTGGCCGGGGGCGCGGCCGGCCTATGCTACGCAGCCTGCCTGCTGCCTCTGCGACCCGCACTGGTCCCCGCTCCCTCCCGTCCTCTGCTCCGCATCTCGGGCTGAGCCCGCAGTCTCCAGGGCTCCCAGCTCAGGCTTCCAAGTGGGTCCGGCCAACGGGAGCCGCCGCGGGGAGCCACCCTCTCCGGGTGACATCTTGGGCCAGCGGTGCCTCAGCCATGCCCGGGGTTCCTCTGCGGTCCTCCCCTGCCTGTGGCCCAGCGTCCCTGCTTCCTCCTCATGTGTCCCTCGGGGGACGCAGGGGCTGCAGTGGCTCCTGCCGGTTGCTTATCTCTCCGTTGTCTGGCGCGTCTGGCCTTTTAGCTCTTCCGTCACCTTCGCAGCAGACTCCCTGCACTTGTCCCTCGCTGCTGACCTCCGGGGGTGGGCTCTGTTCCCCTGATGGAGCCAACGTGGTCTGGAGGTTGGGCATGCGAGCCCGGCTCCTTCTCAAGGCCCGTGCTCTTTCCTGACCAGTTTCTGACACCGAGGCCCGCAGAGTGAGGCGCGGTCCTGCGTGCATATCAGGGGAGACACCTGGAAACGCAGGACAGCAGTGGCTGGGCTCCACTCTGACAGGTTCACCGAGATCCCAGCGGCCAAGTGTGTTGAATTTGTCTGGGACGTCACCATTTGCTTGTCTTTTCCTTCCTTTTAATAAAGGCGAGTTGTTCAATGTGTATTTACACGTGATTTCCTTTTTGTTTCCTCTCTGTAAAGCTTTTTACGTGGAGAAACTCACGTCTCAGAAAGATTGGCTTGGTACTCTATGTGATTGTCCACTCATTCATTCATTCATTCATTCGCTCACCCATGATTCTACCGCCTGCACTCGGCCACCCAAGAGTCATGTGCTAAGTTATAGCAGTTTGCTCAGGCTGCTCTGAGAAAGTACCACAGACTGGGGGGCTTAACGGAGTCTGGGAGTCCAAGTTCAAGGTACAGGCAGGTTTGGTTCCTTCTGAGGACTCTCCCTGTGTCCTCACATGGTCATTCCTCTCGTGTCTGTGTCCTAATCCCCTAGTCTTATGAGGACACCAGTCAGACTGGATCAGGGCCCAGCCATACGACCTCATTTTAACTCAGTTACCTCTGTAAAGACGCTGTCTCCAAACACGGTCACTGTCTGAGGTCCTCAAATTCAACATACGAATTTGAGGGGGACGTAGATCAGCCCATAATATAAGCCCTGGGGGTTGAGACCCAGGGAAGGTAGGGCCCCGGCCCTGGAGAGAGTGTAACCCACGCACGGTGTGGATTCAGATCTTTCTCCAGAAAGATGGGCAGTGAAAGCCAGAAAGTCACTGAGCCTGTGGAAAACGGTGGGAAAACGTGTGCCAAAGGAGATCCCTCCATGCAAGGGAGAGACAAGGAGCCCTGGGGGCACCATGAGCGATGCAGAGGAGGGGGTCTCTGCGGCTGGGGCCTGGGGTGAGGCCATCCTGGAGGAGGCATCCCGGACCTGCCTGTGTGTAATGCAGGACACGTCCTCTGTTCTCCGAAGGTGGGCCGCACCATCCTGCAGGTGCGGGGGACCAGAGGCTGGGGAGGATGAACCACCTTATCCAGGGTCAGTGAGAGCTGCCGCCGGGGGTCGACCGCACCGTGGGTTTCATCTTGCTAGGGTACGGTTAAGGTTGGTCTTTGGACTTCACTTGGAGGACAGAGCTAAAATTAAACAGCATTTATTATAAAAATAATGAAGCGTTGTGAGAAATTTGAGGAAGAAGAGCCCCTCCTATCTTTATTACCACATCAGTGTTGCCTGTTCATTTCCAACCAAACTGCAACAAAAGTAACAGAAGCTAGCCACTGAGTGCTTACTCTGTTCCAGGCACTGTTAAATCGCCTCTATTTAATCCTTACGATGATACCCCAAATGAGGTGATAACGTTATCCTCCATTTATAGACGGGGAAAGGAAGGCGTGGGGTAGTTAAGTGACCTCTCCACAGTCACTCCCATCCAGCCACGTGGTGGTGGGGGGTGGAACTGGGACTTGAGCCCCAGTGGCCCCGCCCAGGGTGGTAATAGCAGCGGGGGGGGGGGGGGGGCGCAATTTCTCGTGGTGCCCCTGGTTTCATAGCCAGCAGTCTGCAGCTCTGCCTAGTGATATTTGCGTAACTGGTCGCAGGGCAAAATGGCACCTCATTGTCTATTTCGTATTCGTGGGCGTGTTTGTTTCCAAGGGCTGCTGAAACAAATTTCTACAAACCTGGTGGCTTAAGGCAACACACAGGGATGGTCTGACAGCTCTGGAGGCTGAAGCCCTACAGCGACAGCCCCCGGGGCCAACGTCAAGGCGTGGGGAGAGCCGTGGGGGAATCTGCTCCCTCCTGGCTTGCAGCATCCACAGCTGCATTCCTTGGCCCCCGGCACCTCCCCCCACCCACAGAGTCAGCAGATCAGCGGCTAGCTTCAGGGGTCACCTGGGAATCTCCCTCCGCTTCCCTGCTGCAAGGACAGACACCTGTGACGGCAGGAAGGGCCCACCCAGATGGTGTCCAGGCCTTTCACGTCATCACAGCTACAGTCTCTTGCATTTCAAGCTGTGTTCACGGGTGCCGGGGATTAGAGCCCGGATATATTGCGGGGCCAATATTCAGCATGCCATGGGGAGATTAGTCATTTTCTACTTCAAGTATGGGGATAATTACCAGAGTTAAATATTGTCTCATTTTTAGTGTTCTGGGTCGATCTCAAAAAATGGAAAGAGAGGCTTTTCTGATCCCTTTCAGATACCACATTTAAAACACATTTTTTAATGTTTTATGTATTTTTGAGAGAGAGAGAGAGGGAGAGGGAGGGAGGGGCAGAAAGATAGAGGGGGACACAGAATCGGAAGCAGGCTCCAGGCTCCGAGCTCTCAGCACAAAGCCGGACACGGGGCTCAAACTCACAAACTGCGAGATCGTGACCTGAGCCGAAGTTGGAGGCTTAACCGACTGAGCCACCCGGGCGCCCCCATATCACTACATTTTGTAAGCAATCGAGTGCTCGGCCTGACTCTGACTGATTAACCTGGGGCCATTCCTGGGGTTCGGTTTGGAAGGAACCTGATTACAATCCATACAAGGGGCGCACCCTCTTCTGTCGCTTACAAGAGCCTTCCCCAGGGCCTCAGGGCAGGAGAGGGGGCGTTTGTCCTTATTAGGAATAATAATGCATCATTTCATTTCTTCACAATAACCCTTCCGAGCCAGGCACAAGTGCCTCTATCTTACAGATGCAGAGACTGTGGGTCACAGTGGGGAACAATCCCAGGTGAGGCCCCATGGCTGGTCAGTGGCCGGGTCAGGGAGCAAAGCGGGGTCCTCCCCCCAGGGGCACAGAGTCTGTCCTAGCAGAGCAGGCCGCCCTGTGTGGCGTGGGCCGAGGAGTGAAGGTTGCACAGGTGTGGGCTGTGAACGCACTTCCCACGTGTTGCCTGGATTTCTGTCACAGAGGGGAGAGTGGCACATTAAGGGGACTTGGAAGCCAGGCACGAACAGGAGATGGGCAGTCTTTGTGGTTCCTGGGGTCCCAGCGGGACCAGCCTGTCCCCTTGGGTTTCTCTCCATTCTCCTGTGCACCTCCTCCAGACGGAGCTGCAGTCGGGGCTCACACCCGGCCTGCGATACAAGTTCCACATTTCCCCAGGATGATAAGAAAAGGCTTCCTGTGGCTGAGCCGTCCCTAATTATTAGGCCGTTTCCACCTTCTCTCTGTTGTAAGTAATACAGGATGAATGATTTCAATTGCAGAAAACTTTCTCTGAATTTCATTCATTTCCTCGGAAGAGATTTGAAAGGTTATAGCTCACGCGGGGGTCAACAGAGCGCAGGGTTAAGAAAGCATGAGTTCAGGAGTCAGACTGGGCTCTAGGATGCTGTGTGACCTCGGGCAAGTTGCCCGGCCTCTCTGATGCTCCCTTTTCTTGAGGGTGAAGTAGGGGTAAGGCTGCTACTTACCCCTACTGCAGGCTGCTAACGTAGGATGGGTTGACACGACACAAAGCTCTTAGGCCACATGGCACAGCTCTTCTTTGTTGGTGTCGACTGAATTTGGGATTACGGGCTCAGGGATGAGAACGCGTTGAAGACTCTCGATGCATGGTGCCGTATTGTTCGACAGATGTCTTGCAAGCGTTCTAGATCATCTTAAATATGTGTGAATGTTTCGCACAGTGTGATATTGTCAGAATATCAAACTGGCCCAATGACCAAAAAAAAAAAATAACCCCATAAAACCCCCACAAAGGTTGGCCCCAGGGTCTGTGAAACTCTCCGGCCACACTTGCACCCTGAGTAAGCATCTTCCCGCTTCAATGCCGCAGAATCCAGGAGCTAGAGCTGTCGGAGAGGCAGCTCCTCCAGAGTGTGGACCAGCTGAACGCCCGCGTGTTGCAGGAAAGGAGCGACGCTGCCCGGGCCCAGGAGAAGCTCCAAGCCCTGCGGGACGAGCTTGCCAGCCAGGTACCCTCTCCTCCCCCTTGTTTCCGCTACTGGTTTCTCCATCCAGCAGGGTGACCCCATGTGCTTGGATCGCAACGGTGCAGGCGGGAGCTGCAGGGCCTGGGGCAGGGTCACGTGGTCTCTCTGGGCCTCAGCGGGCCCCATCTGTAAAGCGGGATCGCCGTCCTGCCCTGCCAGCCTCACAGAGGTCCTGGCTGGGATCTGCGAGGGGGGGGGGGGGGGCCGGGGGGCTGGCGAAAGCACTGGGTGACGTGCAGGGGCCGCGCACGCACCAGGAGCTTTGGCCTCAAGTTCGTTTCTGTGGCCCTTGGAACTGACTTCGGGGAAGCCAGCTCTGGCCTGGGGACAAGCGGGTGATGACTGATGCAGGGTCCCCAGCCTCAGGAGCTGGCACGCAGGTGGGGACGCAGATAGGAAACAGGTAACGCCCAAACCGGGCGCCAGGTGCCAGGAGGAGGCTGCAGGCACGGTGTGGGTGCATGGGGTGGGGGGCGAGAGGAAGCTACAGGAAGCCATCTGACCTGGCCCTTGTGGGAAGGGCACGTGGAGCGTGGGGAACAGCCTGTGCGCAGGCACAGAAGTGCAGAGTGCGTACCGGGGCCGGAGCAGAGGGCGTGGGCACAGGAGAGGGCGCTGGTGAGACAGGAGAGTTCCAGAAGGGCCAGGGTGTGAACCAAGTATTGACTGCAGTGAGGAGCAGGCTTTAGGAAACTTTAGCAGGAGAGGCTCAGGACGGGGTTTGGGGGATATTATTCTAGATGCGTGGGAGACAGAGCTGATGGAGGCAGAGAGACAGGTTGGTGCGTGGGACAAACAGTCGGTGGTTAAGGGGGTGGGCTCCAGAGGCAGGCAGCTGGTGCCAAGCCCTGGCTCTGCCACTCACTGGCTGCGATTTCTGGGCCTCAGTTTCCTCATCTGTGAAATGGGAATGATTATAGGACCAACCCTCTTGGACTGTCGTGTGGGTTAAGAGAGTCGGCACGCGTTAGACACTGACAACAGTCACAGTAAATAACAGCGGCTCCTTTCATGAATATTAATTAGCCTTTCTTGAACTATTCCGGGGGTGATGATGAAGGCTGGAGGGCAGGGCACGTGAGGAAATACTGCAGAGGCAGAAAGGAAGGCCTTCCAGGACAGCCACAGGGGGCTCTCAAAGAGGCTGTTTCCGCTGATTGCCGCTTACGGCCCAGCAGCGTGGTGGGAAACCAGTTCCCAAAACGGGATCGACTAGAAAATAAGAAAGGGCGAGACGTGTGTAAGGAGGACGGCTATTTCGTGAGACTTCTGTTTCAGTGGCACGCGTGTGCGTGGAAAGGGGCAAGCTGTAAAAGTGTGGGGAGCCGTCACAAAAGCGTGCAAAGCCCCGATGTCGGCCTTCACGGAGACAGACGTGGAGCACGGAAAGATAAGGGGTTCAGTTGAGCTGAAATTCGCCTTCGAAATGCCAGGGAGACATACAAGGGGCAGTTTTTGCTTTGCCCTCTGCGTTGAACTTGGGTGCAGAAAGTACAGTGGATTGCCCGTCTCCGCTCCTAGCACGCCGTCACTCACGTGAAAGGTAGTGCATTGTGTGGGTTCCCAGCAGGAAGGATGCCACCTCTTCGTGGAAAATACTTCAATAAATATGCTTGGGGCCGTGCCCGATATACATGTAGGTTTTCCAAGACGAGTCAGCCACAGCCCTGCAGTCACGAGGCGTTCCCAGTGTGACGGGAGACAGAGGACGAGGGTGACAAGCAGGGACAGTGCTGTCAGGGGGCTCGGAGGCACCGCGGGACCAGCAGTTGTGTGGGACGCACGCCTTTTCTACACGCATCTCCTTGTTACCGTCTCCTGTAACCCGTATGCTCCTGGGGAGACCGGTCAGGAACCCCACTTCCAGATGAGGGGCACAAAGTCAGAGTGGTGCAGGTGCTCTGCTCAGGGACCCTCCGAGATCGCCTGCCCCAGCTACCACCCAGCCCAGCCCCCCCTAACCCCGAACCTCTCCCCAGAGATGCCCACACTTCGGAGCAAGTTTTGTAGGGGTGCGTGCACGAGTTCTCTGTGCTCTTTATGCCCAATATGGGCCAAATGGCAGTTTTGTCCTGTTGCGTCAATGTTCCCAGGAAGCATTTGTGTGCAAAACCATCTCATTTCTGTAGTGACCTGTGGTCCTTCTGAAAGCCCATAAAGGCAGACCCGTCTAGGGGATAACGCACCGCCGATTACGGGATAGCTGGGGACAGTTTTCCTCCCGGGGAATCGGATTCCAGGTTTCTCTGCCCCACGTCCCCCAAACCAAGCTGTGGAACAAAGCGTGCCAAGCGGTCCCCAGGTTTCGTCTTCCACACACGCTCAGTTCTGTCTTCCACCGGATCTCCCGGCCGACAGCAGGCACGGGTGGCTGAGAGAGAGCTTCACATAGAAGTAGTTTGACCCCTTGTGATCGATTCATTCTGGAAACTGGGCCAGGACTCCCGGGGGACTCCCGTGACCCAGTGGTTGGGTCACCCCAGTCCAGCTCACAGCTCAAGGGCCCGGAAGGAGGCTAGGTCTAAGAACAGAGAGAGCTGTGTTCTCCAGACCTTTCAGATACACGGAGGTTGGAATCCTGGCTTTGGAGACTGATGATGAAACAAGCCACTTATGAGCATCCCAAGGGGGGAGTAACCGTACCTAGTTCTTGGGGGGTATTCCCAATATGGCTGCTGTGGTTTGTCTCAGCAGCCAGAAGCCAGGGCTGGCTGACCTCTGCAGGGCCAGGCGTGAACCCTCGAGGGGTATGGAAATGGAGAGATGTGGGAGGTCCTGGGTACAAGTGGGGAAACCCAGGCGGGTCCGGGAGGCAGCTCTTTATAAAGTGGTGCCGAGGTATTCGGTACTGGAACCGCCAGTGCGGGCCTCCCTGTGCACACCAGCTGATGCCCACCCGGCCCAGTGCACAGTTTCCTTCCAAGCACCACCGGGGAGCTCACGGTGTGCGGGGCTGACTTCCTGACGCCCTCACTCCACCGCCAACTTGTAGGTTCTGGAGAAGGAGCGCGCGGCCAGGCGGCAGCGGTGGCGGCTGCGGCGGCTGCGGGAGCGGCTGCGGCGCAAGGACGAGGCGCTGGGGCGGCAGGCGGCGGCCCTGGAGCGCTGCCGAGGGACACAGCGGCGCCAGCTGGCCCTGGTGCGCGAGCAGGAGCGCGGCCTGCGGGAGCAGGTGCGGCGGCTGGAGCGGGACGTGCGGCGCCTCTGTC